AAAAAAAGTCACAAGCTTACTTGGGTGGGACTCGAACCCACGACCGCCTGCTTACTAGTGCAGACGTCTTAACCACAGGTCCGAGTCAGGTGAATCAGCAGGTACCGCGAACTATTTTCAAGACATATTTTTTTCGTTGGGGAGATGTTAATTTACTTACTTTCGTAAGTTTACAATTTTGTGCAAATTTTGAATAATACGTGGTTAGTTAAGAAAAAATCTTCAAAATTTTCTCGAATGTGTAAGAAAAAATAAAATTGAACTCATGATATAAAGAAATTTCTGTGGTATATCAAATGCATAAATTATGCTGTTTACAGTGCATTTGGAAAGTATAGATTCATAGTTCCAAATCCATGCTTTTCTAAAGATTCGTAGTTCTGAATCCATGCTTTTGCTCAAAAATAAAACATTCAGTCCTCCGAACCCACATACCTGTCATCGGAACCCACACACAGTTATACAGTAGTGTGACATCATAGCAATGGTTGCATTGGGAGTGACCAAACTAGGAAATGGGTTGCCTTAGGGAAGGTGAGGGGTGTGGTTTGGCACAGACCAGGCTGGAAGTCAGGATGTGATTGTGCTTTGCCGAGGCTAACCACAGGTTATGGGATGCCATTGGAAATGTTCAAGGTGTGGTTTAGGTAAAGACCAGAGGTCAAGGTATACTTTTGTATTGCTGTGACTGAATCAAAGACCATTGGCTGCGAGTATGGTTTGGATAGGACCCAAAGAGTGATAAGGTTGTAATCCCACACAGGGGTGGTGAATATCATTTGGACAGGACCTGACACGCAGTAGTTCGATTAAAAATCCCCAAGGTATTGATTAATAGATGTGCTGTCTTTTTAACATTTCTCTCAGTAAAGTGTGCTCTAGAAGGAGAAAATTACCTGTTTTGTTGTATTTTTTTGTCCAAGATTGCCTCGTCCGATGCCACCAACATTCAGTCTGGCATCAGGCGAGATGGGGACGAGCTGGTCCTTTCAGGCCGCAAGTGGTGGATCTCGGGCGCTATGGACCCCCGCTGCCGGGTCTGCATCTTCATGGGGAAGACAGACCCCACGGCAGACGCCCACAAACAGCAGAGTATGGTGCTGGTGCCCATGGACTCCCCCGGCTTGACAGTCGTCCGGCCGCTCTCCGTCTTTGGCTATGAGGACCCGCCAGCGGGCCATGCCGAGCTGGTGTTTGAGGACGTGAGGGTGCCGGCAGAGAACATCATACTCGGGGAGGGTAGAGGCTTTGAGATTGCACAGGTAGGAGACACATTCTTTGTTCAGGAGTTGTTAGATGAATCCGCTTTGAGCCGAAGTATACTCTCTCCCGTTGAAAAGAGACGTGCTGGGAGTGATCATTTTGTTGGCAGTGATGCGACCGCGGCGCATGCATTTCTTTGTTGTTCGTGTACCAACAAAGTGCATTTTTCACCAAAGGAGCCTCTTTTGCTAGGAATATTGCAAGCTCTCTTGGTTCCCATTCGGGTCCCATTGCATCTATACCATCAAGCTGCCCTTTGAGAGATGTCTATACATGCATACTGGACAACCAGGCTTTTAAAAAAGTGTCAGGGATATGTATCGTCCGAGTTGTTCAATTTTAGCCTCTTGCAGATGGTATAATTTTATAGCAAACCAGCCCATAGCATATACAGTTGAACCTCGTCAATACGAGGCTCTTCGGACTTGGTAAATTACCTTGTTACAACAGGAACCTTGTCTGATCAGGAGTGAAAACGAAAAACAAAAGACTGGGACCTAAAGATTTCCTTGTAAGAAGAATCTTGTTTTAACAGTGCTCTTAGTAATGAGGTTCGACTGTAACTGGTGTAGGGGATTGACCTGAAGTGGTTAATATTAACCTGAGAGATAGCAGGAAATTCAAGTAATAGAGTAGAATCAGGTAAATTGGTGAGCAGTGTAGGATACCATGTTATTATCCATTTGGGCCCAATTTCATGGCGCTGCTTACAGCAAAATTCTGCGCTTACGATCTGCATTCTGCACTAATCACGCTAGCAGAAAAATTCTGCACTAACCCATCAAGCACAGAATCCTTAGTTACGGGATGTACGTGTGCGCACAAGCCAAATATCCTCGCTAACCTATGAAATACGTTCGCCGTAAGCACAGAATTTTCTGCTATGATATGCGCCGATTTTTCGCTTGCCGTAAGCAGTGCCATGAAATCGGGCCCTTCTCCCAGATGATGTTGTTGTGGTAGGGTATATATTCTCATTTTAATCCCTGAGATTTTGTCTTCAAAAGAAATCAAGTACATCTTCCCCTGCCAAATCTACAACTTCTTTCTCACAGAATCCAATCAAAATAATATAAAAGTCCCGAATTGCTGCATTGTTATCTATTTATTCAAATCAAGCAACCACCTATATAAAAATAAGCCATGCGAGAAAAAAAGAAAACCTTGTGAAGTAAGAAAATGGTTGGGCGTAAACAACAATAAGCTACTTTCATGTTCCATTTGAAATTGGTTTTGCAAATTTGAAGCCTAAAACAATATAGGAGTAACAACAATTGGTTAAAGTATTTTAAAGAGGAACGTATTTCAGGCTTCTTTGTCTTTTTTACCAAAGTCAACCGTCAAACCAGTTGGGCCATGAAAGCCAGGGCAGAAACTTTATTCTTGAAAAGGCAAGATAATTTTTCCTTCGCAAAGGCATGCGTTGGAAAATCAAGTTACCTGAGGAAATATTTCAGTGGGCACCAAGACGAGGGCGCTAAGGCGATTGCCACCTATTCCGTCTGTAAAGTTCTTGCCCTGAAAAACTGCATGCATCTTGCTTTTGTACTAGGTTTTCATCATGTTTCGTGCTCGTCAGTTGACGTTGGGATTATTTACTTCATGGATTAGTTAGGATGTCTTTCCGACTTTCATCAAATCCTTTCACAGTGTCTCAGGGAAACAAGTTTTAACAACCTGTAACTTACAGATTTGTTTGCATGAATGCGTGAAAGTCGTGCTAGAGTTGTTTGTTTTTCCCATACAATATACGCCAAGCTTTCATGAACTACGCGATTGAATCAGCTTTTGCAGTTAAATCACCTCCAGATAATGCAATATGAAATGGATGAACATACATGTGCCACCTTGACATCCTGCTAAACGTTAAGCCTAATTTTGATATTTCAATCTAAAAGTGTAGCATAGTTGGAGATGTTGTGAGAAAGCCTTAACCTAGAAGACTATCAAGCTGTATTAACGTCTCGAGCCCCCAAAATAGTTTAGAAAACTCAAATTTCAATCAGCCATCCTTGTGTTTATACTGTATTGTTTGTCCAGATGCCGTTCCTTCATTGTCTGGTGAAATAATCCTGACAACACTCCCCCTCTAACTTAATTCCGTGCACTCTCCGTCTATGCAAGATAACCCCGATTGGCATTGATCAGATGTAAAGCAGGTCCCTGAAAATTATTAAAAACATGAAAAAAAAATCATTAACATCTTAGAGGGGTGTTTCACATAATATGGGATAAAAAAAAACTAATGCACAAAATTGATGGAATGATGTGAAAACTTGGTTTGGCTTTTCACGGAAGTTGTTAATGGAAGTGAGTGAAAGTGTGGTGTTTTGGTTTTCGTGATTTCTAGAGACAAAAAACTGAACGGCAATCATTTTTTCGTCAACTTACTTTTCACATTGAAGTAGGAGTTGAGAAGATCACGCAGTTTCAGCAAGTCTTCATCCTCCATGTCCGCTTAAAAAAAAAGAAAGAAGTTTGACAAGGCTATCATCGGGCGAGTGATTTATAAGGATGCAGCATGGAAAGCATTGAGAAGATGTTAAGGCTGCTCACAGAGGAAGGCTCGCAGAAGTCATGAATGAACAGTCGTGAAAGAATAATAATAAAGGGGCATTTGTTTGCTCAGTACCTGTAAATGATATCACCATGGTACAGCCAAGACACAGTACGAGGAACAGACAGATGTATGCCTTCATCATTGCAGATGTACCGTCAAACTGATCAAAGAGGCAGGACTTGAGAAGAAAGAAAAGCACATAGAGGATTATTCATATTTGAGAAAGGTTATATATTCCATGCTTTTTAGGGATGTGACATTCTTGAGAATGCATTTTCAAATGGACTAACCCGTAGGATTGTAGACACTGAGCTGTCTAGTGAGACACCAAGGGCGAGAATGAATTATGCGGTGATGAGTAGCAGGCTGTGAGGTTCAAATTCTTAGAATTTCTTTTTGGTGCGAACTTGTTCCAATCTTTATAATACACGGTGAGATTGGAAAAGACCGTCACGTCCAGTTTAACAGGTGTTTCTCTCTCTGAAAAGTCCAGATTTGTGAGCAGAAATCTTTTGATGGATTCCCCACTTCTCACATCCCCTGTTGAAGGGGGATTTAGTTGAGGATGTATTGACAGTTGTGCACAGTCCTGTAATCGAGATGCGCCTACAAAGATGTACCGTCAAACTACATGTACCGGTATTTACCTTGACTGAATGGTCTGTGAAACGTGAAGTCTTGCTCAGTTGTCTTCCTCTGATGCTGAAATGACTCTGTGCGTTCCCTGGAGAATTCCAGCCTTTTATATGTGTATTATACAACCCTGGACCAAACTTGACAGAAAAAGTTTCTTTGTTGAAAATTGGCCGGGAACCTGTCACGAGAAGTAGAAACTAAACTTGCATTTTGGCTGGTAGCCTGCATTTGAAAGGCACTCTTTTGTAAATGTGCTCGGTAACTCTGTGAGATTCACCCTAGAGCAGTCGTGCTGGAGCAGTCATGCTGTGTTGAGTTGATTCAAGCACCAACAACAGTTTGTTTACAAATTAGTGTGCAGGGTGCTGTTAGTGCTTGTGGTTGTCTCCCCTAAAGCTTTCACGGTAACAGTGAGTTACTATTATGCTGCCCCGGTTCTACCCGAGGCCATTTTAAACTCTTTTTGTCCCGCTGACAGCATCAGAGTGTGGGTCGGAGAAAAAAAAAAAACACTCTCAAAACAAAGGCAGGGTATAAATGGTCAACCTACAAACTACAAGTACAGCGAGATTGACACCACAAATTAATATACCGGTATCATCCCTGTGTGATGTTTGCACAATGTTTCTCCTTGCAACCCCAGCAATATGCGACTCTCCAAGGCTAGGTCACTGAGAGATCATTTGTTATAACAACAGGCCATGTACAGCAGTCAAGTGTCGCACCATTACCATCTCTACAATCTCCCCAGACATCTTTGTATGAAGAGTTTTAATGGCATGGTTTGTGTAGCCGTGATTTTTTTCGGGGGGGGGACAAATTGCTTTTTTTCCAGGGGGGTGGTAAAATTTCCCAGGGATGGAGAAGCACTCATCAGCTAAAGCTGATCCCACTTGGTGTCGGGATTCCTGATACCAGAGACCTTGGGTTTGTATGCATAGCCGCGGTGCCCGAAATCGGACAAAAGAACTGGGCCTCATAACAAATGTTAATAACATGTCTCAACCCCCCCTTGCAAAACCCATGAATGGGAGAACTGCCAACATTCTTATTTGTTGTAGCTCAAGTTTGTTTTAATCACATCTTATTTTTGAAAAACAGCTGAGAATTTCCCCCACCAAATAATCAATCCAACTTTGTTGAATAGCCTTATCGCGTGGTTCTCTGATGCCAGTTCAATTACTTGTACATGTACATATAAGCACCCACTCTGAGTGGCTTCACCCCTTGTGGTTTGGGCAGTTAACAGTTAAATTTTGAGGGATGCGCACACTTTTGGGGCAAAGCAAGCATTTTTCATGGCTTTACTGAGCAAGATCAGTAACTCAAATACAAACGCTCGGTTATGTAGGTACTTTTCAATAAAGTGAAATGATTGTGAATCTGGTTAGGTACGTGAATTATTCAAGTGAAAAAGTAGGCCACACTTGTCAGATCACTTTACGCATTGTGCTTCCATCTGAATGAACGGATGAATACTAGTGGTCTTAGCACATGCTCAGGGATAAATGATTCATGAGGTCAAAACTTGTTATCAAGGACTTTTTTGTACAACGGCTTCTTTCTCCATTTGTTGTAAGGGACATAAAAAATTGAGGAATTTGGAAATCCATAAGATTAAGGATAATTCTAGAAATCCATTACAGTAGGGGTGACTTTGCCCGGGAACAAGAGTGTCTGTTTGCTGGCCTACAAAAACAACTTTGCATGGCTGAGTTTAGTTGTGCGTCACACTGTTCTGTTGCCTTCACTGCCAGAGGGAATAATCACAAAGCGAGCCTCGCTGAAACTCTCTTGATGAATAGCCCGTACTTGGTAAAATTATGGGTTTACCCGCCACTGAAAATATCGCAGAATGTTTTATGGAAATCCCTAACGTTGCCAATTCCCTGATGACTCAGAAAATAATACAAGTGGCTTCTCAAAAAGTGGCTTATGGATAGGAAAACAAATACAAGGAGCAGTTAATGTTGAAAGGATTTTTGATTTCAGAGAATATTGCGCATTAATCATTGTTTGAAGACAGAAGTCCAATTTTTTTTGTTGTTGTTTATCATAGAAATGGAGCTAGGCCATAAAAGAAGGATTAATTAACAAAGTGGGAGCAGGGAAAAACTTCAAGTGTTTCAGTTTATTTTACTACAATTTGCTCTCAAATATTCATTTCCCCGCCCCCCCCAAAAAATTCAGATTCTTGTAATTCAGTGTAGTATTTGACTCATTCCCAGAATTAATCACTTGTAATAGTCAGAACTGTGTGACCTTATTCAGTGATTGAGTGGGCATTCATGTCCACTGAATCGCTAATATGTAGAGATGCCATTACAGCAGTGATGCTGCAAGTCATGCGTTTGTTGCATGCTTTCTTCAGGCATTTAGCGATGCGTGTGTTTTGATGCACAGGCAGGGCGAATATGGTGACTTGTTGACAAATGAATGCGTGGTCATACTAATAATAATAACAAGGTATTTATAAGGTGCACACGGTACCTCACAGTACTTCCAAGGCATAGATATCTTATTATTATCCCTGCACATTTGGCTCACAATCTCTGAACATTCCTGAAACCATCTCAGCTCCCTGGGGAGTATATAACCATATCTGCCCTCACAGGTACCAATTTAATCCTTTTTGGAGAGAGAGAGATTTCATTGTCTATTACTACACAAGACCTTATGGACTAATATTTTGCAACGGATGACATTTACCGGTCTTGTGGGACTGTTAACATGACAAATCCAGAAAGCCCCTGGGTTTCTTTCCAAATGTGTGGTTGCATTGAAAAACACAGTTTGCACTGTGTTTATGCACCATATAAGTTTAAATTTCCATCTCACCAAGAACCAAATTTTTTTGGGGGGGAGGGGAGTGGGGAGCAACAAATTGAGGAAGTGCTTGCCACATTTGAGGGCTATCGCACGACTATTGAAGGTGACCTGTTGCCTCAAACCAGCTGAAAGTTGGATTTTTGAAAACTGAGATATTGGTATTTTTGAATTCAGCAGAAAGAGAGCTTTCCAAAATGGTGTGTAACGCTTAGGATAGAAGCATTGGTCAATATTTTGGATCACATTTTCGGTCTTGTGTACTAACCTTGCCATTTTTGTGTAGGCATGAGAGCAGAACAGGTCCACGTTATGGGAGTTTGTGTTAACCTGGTGTGCACTAAGCCAGGTCCACATCAGGGTTCTCCTCTTTGAACAAGTTTGAGAGACAGTTTAGGGTCAGGTTTATTTGTAGCAAAAGGGGAAAGAAGAGGTCAGGAAACTGTCAACAAAAATCTAGTTGAAATAAGAGAAAGGAATGCTCACTCTACCTACAACAAAGTAAATGTGTGTGCGTGTGCAAGATCATCCCCTCGTGGAATCTTGTTGATAGTACCAAAGGCCTGAAAATGTTGCATGTGTATCTTTCTTGGATTCTGAAAAGCATTCTCTTCAGTAGCCACATAAAGCAAGAGTGTATTCCCTGCCTGTTTGTGTGTACATGTGTGTTCTTACCTATGGGTCATTCTCCTACCATATCAGGAGTGTTACATGTACATTTTCAGCAATGCCTGTTCCTTTGCCTTTAAAACACGGAAAACCAATGATGGTGTAAGTTCCATCATTTCCAGCAATGTCAATGGTCACATTTGGGCAAGTTGTATGAAGGACCCCAGTTAACCGTAACTTGACTGTCTCGTCAGCAATTGCT